CTAATGATAACAAGAGTGTCATAATGCCACAGCAAAAATCTTTAATTACAAGAAACCGCTTTTCCCCACTTTTGGAAGATGAATCAGCAGTAGTCTCTCAGTCCCAGTCTCAGTCTCAGTCAAGGTCAAATGCAGCTGAGTCGCTCTTTATCGGCGATTCGGCGATAAGACACGTAAACATGCGTAATCTCAAGGTTCACTCAGTACACTCTGCCAAAGTGGATGAGATAAGGCGGCTGGCTCCGAGGCTTCTGTCTGAGACCGGCGGGGTAAAAAGATTGTTGATCCACGTGGGGGCAGTAGACGTCTATGACAACACAAGTGAAAAGTTGAAACGGGATTACTCTCTCTTATTGGACGACCTTGCTAAAATGGACGCAACTATCGTTATCAGTGGCCCACTACCAAATGTGGACGGGAAGCAAATGAAATTCAGTCGTCTGTATCAGCTAAATACTTTCCTACTCAACGAATGTTCACGCAGAGGACTTGCCTTCATTGAGAATTTTAATCTGTTCTGGAATAGGCATGAGCTTTTTGAAGGGAAAGGGCCACATCTGAACACTTACGGAGTAAAAGTGTTGATGGATAACCTTTCTTTTGCCCTGAGACCTCAGCCTGCGCAGCGCGTGCAGCCATCGAAAGGGAGGAAGCCGACTCTAAAAGTCTCAGCACCTCCACCACCTCGAAGGATCTCAACACCTCCACCACCTCGAAGGATCTCAACACCTCCACCACATCGAAGGATCTCAACACCACCACCACCTCAAAGGATCTCAACACCACCACCACCTCGAAGGATCTCAACACCACCACCACCTCGAAGGATCTCAACACCACCACCACCTCGAAGGATCTCAACACCATCACCGCCTCAAAGGATCTCAACACCTCCACTGTCATCAGAAGCAGCTGCATCATCACCAGTAGCAGAACCAGCAGCACGACCACCACCACCACCAACATCTTCATCCCCAGCCTGCTCCAAAGCAGCCACGCCTTCTTCTTCTACAGCGCCTCTGAAGCCCCCATCCTCACCCCAGGTTACAGCAGACAGGCCTGTGCTGGGGTTTCCTCAACCACCTGCCCCTCCATCAAAGACTCCCTCGCCACCTCCCATGGACCTGTCTTGGGTCCCCCCTGCCACGTCCACTCCATCAAGAGAGAATGGGGACACGTCCCTTTGTTTTTCATCCCCGCCTTCACTGTTAGACCTACCTGAACACTCTGCAGGGCTAATAAAATCGGCGATGAAGACTATTCCTCTCACACCCATATTAGCTAGATCTAGAGTCCTGTCCAACATGCTAAACCACTCCCCATATGTACCTCCAAAACCACCTAGGGTTTCCAATTCACCTACAAAAACCACCTCAGCCAGTCCCTCCCCTAACCTCATGACCATTCCACCCCCACTTCCCCCTCGTTCAACACCCAAAACCTCTGCCTCAGCCCACCCCGGCCCTAACCCATCACCAAAAACCCCTCCACCTCCCTGCCCCCCTCGTTCAACACCCAAAAGCCACCCACCTCTCCATCCTCCTCCCCCGCCTTCCCCTTCCCCTCTTTTCTCTAAACACTAGGATGCACAGGGTCTCTGCTTCGCAGCCACTGGCAGTCTAGTTAGAGGAGAGACCCGGCTGGGGCCCTGTCATGAAGCCACCTGTGCCATTCCCTTAGTGATAACACAAAGAATACATTACAGAAAGACATCTGGAGTTAATAAGTCTAATCTGGAAAATCTAATTCTTGTTCCGTGTAAGAATCAGCCGACCACAACCGCTGATACTGAAACTTTGAAACTTGCTACGCTTAATGTCAGATCTCTTTGTAACAAGTCTTTTTTAATCAATAATTTTATTTGTTCTCATAATCTTGATCTTATGTTCATGGCTGAAACTTGGCTTGACCAAAATTCAGGAAATGCAGTTTTAATAGAAGCATCACCACCAAATTTCAAGTTTGAATCTGAAATACGGGAAAACAAAAAAGGAGGAGGCTTAGCTGCCTTTTTCAGAGACCACTTTGTCTCCCATAGAATGTCCCTTGGGAAGTTTTCGTCTTTTGAATATGTGTCTTTTAAAATACAACAAAAACAATCTCCTCCAATACTTTTCGTTGTCCTATACAAGCCACCGCAGTCATGTCACAGTTTTATTGATAATTTTACCGAGTTGCTTTCAGTTGTATGCACAGATTTTGATAGTTTGGTTATTACAGGTGATTTTAATATTCATGTGGATAATGTTGATGACAGAAATGCAAATGAGCTGAGTTCTGTACTTGAATCCTTTGATCTCACTCAGCACGTAAGTGGCCCCACCCACAGCAGAGGGCACACTCTAGATCTGTTAGTTACTAAGGGGGTGAATATTTCAAATGTAAACGTGGTCGATGTTGCTCTTTCGGATCATTTCTGTGTTTTTTTTGACATGTGTTTCACTAACAAACCACCAGTGGACTCTGCAACTGTACGAAGAAGACACATAAATGAAAATACGAGTGAACTATTTATGGGAATGATAAACTTTGAGAATGCATCGTATTCTACTGTAGATGAACTGTTTAACTCTGTCACCTCTAGTGTTTTGAATGTTCTGGATACCGTTGCCCCTGTGAAGGTTAAAATAGTGAAAAATAAGCAGAAGGCGCCGTGGGCTAAAGCAGACTCGGTCAGGGCACAAAAGAGAAAGTGCCGGAGGGCCGAGCGGAAGTGGCGCAAGTCCAACCTCCAGGTTGATTACGAGATCTTCAAAGATAAGTTGTGCGAGTTTAACCGGGTGCTACGTAGTACGGGAGAAAGGTATTTTTCTGAAATGATTGAAGGCTGCAGCAACAATCTGCGTGTTCTGTTTTCAACAGTTAATAGATTAACAAACCCCCCTGTTCAAATGCCATTAGAGCTTACTTCCAAACGTAAATGCAATGAGTTTGCTAATTTTTTCAATGACAAGGTTCAAGGCATCAAAAACGCCATTGTCTCCAATCCACAGATAACCATCCAACAGCCAGAAAGGCTCTCTGAGCTAACTCACTTTGCACCTGTAAATGATAAAACTGTCCAAGAGATAATCTCCAGTTTGAGCTCCTCCACATGCAGCTTGGATGTACTACCCACTAGATTTCTGAAGTCTGTTCTGAGCAGTCTGTTACCTTCACTCACACAGATAGTAAACATGTCCCTTCATTCTGGAATATTCCCAAAGGCCCTGAAAACTGCAGTCATCAGGCCCCTGCTAAAAAAGAGCAGTCTCGATGCTACGGTACTTAACAACTATCGTCCCATCTCAAATCTGCCATTTATGGGGAAAGTCCTTGAAAAAGTTGTCTACCTACAGCTTACTAGATTTCTTATAATCAACAACTCATTTGATATGTTTCAGTCCGGCTTTAGACCCCACCACAGCACTGAGACTGCTCTCGTCAAGGTTACAAACGATATCCGGCTGAACACTGACGCAGGCAAAGTCTCAATCTTAATCTTGTTAGATCTAAGTGCTGCCTTTGACACCGTCGACCATGAGATCCTCTTACAGAGATTAGAGGACTGGGTTGGAGTCGCTGGCACCGCCCTAAGTTGGTTTAGGTCTTACCTTGAGGACAGGAAGTACTTTGTGGAGATTGGAAACTGTGTCTCAGATCATATGGCCCTGACCTGTGGAGTCCCACAGGGGTCGATCCTGGGACCTCTTCTGTTCAATCTCTACATGCTGCCGTTAGGTCAGTTAATACGCAGAAACAAAGTTTCCTATCATAACTATGCAGACGACACTCAGATCTATGTCTCACTGACTGCAGGAGAACATGGACCAGTGGACTCACTCCTTCACTGTATCCAACAGATCAGTGAGTGGATGCAAAACAACTTCCTTCAGCTAAACGCAGACAAAACTGAAATGATTGTCTTTGGTCCCCAGAAACAAAGAGAGAGCGTCATCTGTCACCTACAGTCTCTCTCCCTAAAACCTTCAAACAAGGTCAGAAATCTAGGGGTAATACTGGACTCAGACTTAAATTTTAATAGCCACATCAAATCAGTAACATCAGCAGCTTTTTACCATCTAAAAAACATTGCCAGGATCAAAAACATAGTGTCTAAAGCAGACTTGGAGATTCTTATCCATGCATTTGTCTCCAGTAGGTTAGACTACTGCAATGGCCTGCTCACAGGTCTGTCCAAACAGGCTGTAAAACAGCTGCAGTACATTCAAAATGCAGCAGCTCGAGTCCTGACTAGAACCAGGAAGTACGACCATATTAGTCCGGTCCTCAGGTCTCTGCACTGGCTTCCTGTGGCTCAGAGAATAGACTTTAAAACAGCTCTGCTTGTGTACAAGTCTCTCCATGGCCTCGCACCAAAATATATTAGTGACATGTTAGTCCCATATGAACCAGCCCGGACTCTGAGGAGCACAGGGACTGGACTCCTGTTAGTGCCCAGAGTCAGAACTAAACATGGGGAGGCTGCTTTTCAGATTCATGCTGCTAAAATCTGGAACAGTCTTCCTGGAGATGTGAGACAGGCCTCCTCTCTGACAATGTTTAAAACCAGGTTAAAGACAGTTCTGTTTAGCTGTGCATACAACTGAGGGATTTTATATTTGTATCTTTCTTTTTAATGTTCTGTGATTATTTATGATTTTAATGCTTTCTTGTTTTGTTCAGCACTTTGAATTGCCTTGTGTATGAATTGTGCTATATAAATAAACTTGCCTTGCCTTGCCTTGCCTTGCCTTCTATTACTTTGGTCAAAAGGTAAAAAATGTCAGAATGTCATGTTTAAAATATCGGCTCACCCATTGCTACTTTTTTCCTCTCTGCTGGAAACGCTAGCGTAGTGTGCGTAGGGAGAGTAGCACATAGAAATGGACACAAAGCAGCAAAATTATTCCAGAGATTACATTCAAGATAGATCGCCCCTGTGTGAAAGGTTTTTGTTTGACCCACCATTTAAACTTGAGAATTGGTTGAATAAAATACAATCTAATTTGCAGACATACCCAGAGCGAGTAGGGCGTCCTTAGAGGGTCTTGTGGTCCCTGTGAAGACGTCTGTGGCAGAGATGGGGAAGAAGGTTCACTGTTCTGGATCAGGGACTGAGGCTGTGGCCATGCAGCGTCATATTCTGTTTGCATCTCTGAGCGCTTCCTCCTCTGTATGATCTGAAAAAAATAAAAGATAAAAAAATAAACTTAGTGCAAATTGGAAAATGTTGTCCTGATGTTATCTTGTCCAAAGCGTGAATAATGTGGTCTAATTAAACTTTTAAGGGGATAAACCCAGTCCCATTTGCGTATAATATTCAACATGAAATGATACAAACACATTATAGCAAACAACTCATGCAACCAACTAATTAATGGTGCTGTTAATTTAAGATTTATCAGCACCAGTTAGAGCAGCAATAAAAAAAATGGTTAAACGCAAAAGGAGAAAGTCTTACTGTATTTATGGTTCTATAAAAAGGCTTTAAAACCCATTATCTAACACAGCATTTTAACAAAACAAAACAAGAATATATACTGATGCATTTATGTATCAATAATTGAATATTCATTGATGAAGTCAATACATATAAACAATAATAAGGGTCTTATGGATCCTAAACATAACAGCCCCTTTTTCCATAAATAGTACATTTTGTTTGTCCCAATAAAAAGAGTCTTGTAAAAGTCACACAACATTCTGTCTTCATCTCATTAGAAAACATGTTATCATTTGCAGCCCTGTGAGTCACTATTGGACTTTTTGGGCTGAGAGCAGATGGATATGGGTGGTCCTCTATTTTTCACTTTTCTGTGAAAAATAGAAACATAAAACATATATCGACAGAAACAGACTGTTTAGAGCCAGGAACTAGTGACATAGACTTTAATACTGGTACATAGTTTGTTTGTTTATTTGTTAGAAAGTTGGATATCCCAGATTTAATAATCAAATGTGATATTTCTTTTCATTTCAGCAAAGTAAAAGCAGGTTGGATATCCAGGGCAGGCAACAAAAATACTTTATCTTTACAGGCAGACAGTGCATCGTCTGAGGATGTTATGATGTATTCGACTTTTAAAACACTTATACAATAACAAGTGGAGCCCTACTTTAAATGCCGTGACATAGACAGTACTTTTCAAATACTTTATTCCAGCTCTGAAACAATGCGCAAATCTTCAAGGGAGTAAAGATGAAAAGTTGTCAGTGATAGCGAGCGACCTACTTTTTGTACAATGGTTGTGGCAAGTTCCTCTATGAGTTCGTCTTTGTGATCACGCAGGTACCGAGCTTCATTCTGCTTCTCCTGCACACACAAACGCACACACACACAAACGCACACACAAACGCGATTGAATAAAAGCGCGAATGCCTCCTGCTGATATTGAGACTAGTGGGCGGGAAAAAATAGTAATATTGCATGGGGAAAGCAGCCTAGAGTCTCACCAAGCTGTCACTGAACTCCTCTGCTTTAGCGATAGCTTCCTCTATGGCCTCCTCAGCCACACGCAGAGCGACTGTGAGAGTCTCGGCCATGCTGTGTCCTGAGCAGAGACAAAACACGACTTTATATTCATAAACTCAATACAACACAACACGCTTCTGCTGTTTCATTATGGAAACATTCTCTGAAAATGTTTGAATCCAGGTTAAAAACAGTTCTGTTTAGCTGTGCATACAACTGAGGGATTTTATATGTTTATCTTTCTTTCTAATGTACTGTGATTATTTATGATTTTAAAGCCTTGTGTGATTGTTTCTGTCTTGTTTTATTCAGCACTTTGAGTTGCCTTGTGTATGAATGGTGCTAAACAAATAACCTTGCCTTGCCTTGCCTATATTCGGTCTATAAAGCAGAGCGGCATACCAATATACCACGACAATTCATAGTGTGACCCACAGACTAAACAAAGCAATCGTGTTTATCACTGGTTACCCTGGGGTACTTCCATTCTTTCTCGTATAAATAATACATGTTGTTTGTGCCAACAGTTGTGATCAAATCAGACCACAATAAGCTGTCTTCGTCTTATGAAAAAGCAGATAGAAAGAGCTATGAGAGTCACTATTTGATGCTTTGGGCTGAGAGCTGGTTGGCTGATTGAGAGAGGTCCTTACTTTTCCTCTTTTCTGTCTGAAAATTGATGTGACTGAGGCAAAACCATTCCTGAATGTGAAAAGACGTGATAGAACCAAGAGAATTAGTGACATGGATTTAGTTATGTTGTTATTTTTTAACGGTTCAAATGTTAGGTTCCCCAGCTTTAACTTGAATACATGCACTTTGTCACTCTAAATATTTATATTTTTCTTCAATCAATTTCTTGGGTCTTTTAAAACAGTGCTTATTTTAAGTTCTTCAGCAAAACACTAGTGCTTTTTGTTAGCTCGCAATTCAATCAACTGTAGACAATTTACGTCTCAGCTTTGCTTGTCAAAAAGACGGCGCCTCAGATAGTATTTACTTATCTTCAAAGTCCTTGCTAAAATCAAATTCACAATCAAAGAATGTCCTTGTAGCATACAACAGTTTCCTTCACATGTCAGTGCCTGATTTATTTAGTCAAACTCACAAGTCTCAATACGGATGAATTATTCATAAGGTTCAGTGATGCACAGAAGCGAGTTCAATGTTACGATATTTAATCAAATCAAGAAGGGCGGCGGAGACTGGCGACTTTTGGAGACGTAATGCCACTATCACATTTCTGACTACTCAATCCCTAAGAACAGAAAACATGAGCCGTGTTTGCTGTAAAATGCTAAATTATATTGTTCCAAACGACTTGATGTCAATGCACAATTTATTGCAGCTTGTAGTTGAACGCACACTCAATTACACGACCCAAACGCTGATAAAATGTGCGTACTGGCGGAGACATGAAGCACCGCCATTATCAGAGTGGCAGATCTGCTCATTGTACAAACATGATTATCGGTGAGCAAATTGAATCCGGCATGTTTTTGAGTTTATTTGTGTAAAGACGTAATGGTCCAAACTCGCCAGCGGAGAGTAAATAATTATAAGTGCTTCTCCCGTTTTTATACCGAGCTATTAAACCAATATTGGCACGTACTGTATGCATGTTAATGAGTGTTGCGATGCCAGCCTCTCATTGTGATGCTGACCTTATCCAACGTAACATTTGCACCAACACTTGTTAGAGCATGTATTATAGTGTCCCAACATAAGCACTACCAAACAGACAGACTAAATAATATACTTAAAGAATAAATGGAATAAAAAATTCCCTGGAATAAAAAAAATTAAATGTCATTTCTAATTGCAGCAGAGATTACTTACCTTCACTTTGTTTGTAGAAGGCGGCTTCACTGCCACAGATGCTGCCATCGTTCTCGTTGCTTCCTTCGTGAACACTGCTTTCTGCAACAAAAGAATCTCTAGATAAAAGATTGTCACACAAAACAAGACAACATAAGACGATAATCATTTCAGCACACTTCTAAATAATATTCATAATGCCTGCCTGTTTCATTGTACTGCCATCAACTGTGCTCAATTTGTCACAGTTTTGAGCGATATTCCCAGAGAAAGAAAACAAAGAAGTCAGTGCCACTTTAATGATTTCTGCTTAAACAATTGCACTTAAAAAGAGTGTCAGTGACCATATACAGCAATACGGGACCAGAATGAAAGTCTACTTGTAATATTTAGACAAGCTGACGTAAATAGAGCGAGAAACAAGCCGATGATTAATGTTAGGAGTCTCAGCGACAGCCTCCTGCATTCACCTATTCCCTGTGTGGCTTATTAGCTCCAGGAAACTATCTTTCCCGTGGTCACCTTTTACTGTGGCTTTCTATCCAATAAAAATAAAATGCATTATAAAGTCATGTATAATATGATGATAGAAAACATGAGAGCAAATTGGTGATGAAGGGTTTTGTAAATCAATCTATGCAATCTAATACAATGGATGCAATTTAGCTAATTCCAGCATATTTATGTTGACGCTGTTTGACAAATTCATATGAACTGTCCTAAATTCAACAAAATAATATAAATGAATGTATTATTATTTTTCATTTTATCTTCACATTTTAGTCTTCAATCCAACAAATGTAAAAGAACATTTGATAGAACGAGCAACTGGTTTTTGGCCAATGACACACGATGCCCAGAGTTATACTTTGTGAATTATCTCAGTCAAAACACAAGACCAGTCTGGCTCCTGCGTTACGCCTCAGAAACTCACATCATTTTGTGTTCCAAGTAAAAATGCAAATTATCCAAATGTTGTTGTTTAACTTGGGCGAAATGTTTTTTTCTTCAGTCCTGTTGCTGACATAACAACCAAGATTGCTCTCTTGAGTCAGATACTATATGCAGTTTTATTCCATTCATGCTGATAACGATAAAGAGAGAAATGCAACTGCCCATATTACATGGCCATCAAACTCCTACTAATCAAATCTATATCTGAGTGATCTGTATAAATCACTTATGAAAGCAGTATATCTAAATAGACATGGTGTGTGTGCCGTCACTTACCCCCACACAGTGACAAACTGACTCAACAGATTACAGCGGATTCTTCACACATTCCATGATACAATTTCTTCAGACATTTGGTCTATCAAACTTGACTTCCTATGACTGTTTTGTGGAGTAGTTGTTTTCTACTTTAAAATTCTTTTTGATAGAAATTGCTTGTAAACAGTACAAGTATCCTCTGAATGAGACGGAGGGGCTGAGGAGGACTTACACTTATTCTTTCCAGGAGGACAGCCACCACGAGCTTTTATCTCCCTCACTCTTTCACTGTGATTCATTGGCTTAAATATTATGCATAAGTAGGTTCAGCTATAGAAATGTTGTCTTTGTAGTATTTTAAATCACCAGAACACCCGGCACTATTCTTAATCCAGTCTATAATAATTCTTTGTTTAACCTCTATTAATTTTCTTTCTTGTCGGTTATCAGTTGTTTAATCTTTCGAAGGTTTCTTAGTAAACCAAACATTGACATTTGATCTAAATTATAAATTAGAGAAATTATAGAGATTGCTATGGGAAAGTCTCAGAAGTCATCATGGGCCATATTACCTCATTATTCAAGCCAGAGCCATCCTGTCCTGTGAGTACAGTTTGGGTCAGACACATTTAAAACTAAATTTTAGGTGCCTAATCGGTCACTGGGAATGTCCCAATCTACCGATTATCATGTTTAAGCAGTTTTGACTATACCTCCTACCACAACTATAGACAAGGACACAAAATATATTGAAGCATATTTTTCTTAATTGTTTGGTGAAATATTAGCTGCCAAATGCACCACTATTGTGTGATGCTATTTGCCATTGTTTATCGCTTACGCTGATGCATCTCAGTGAGTCATCAAAGTGTCTGACAGCGACTGGTGAGACAGCAACAATAGAAAACAATGATGAATGCCTGAGCTTGATACTCCGCCTCTTCTCTTTCGGTCTCTGACCACGGTCCAACCTTTGCACCAACCACGGACGAGCTCAATATCTCCACAGCAACCATGCACGACACCGCACCATGTCAGCACCTCCACGAGTCAATGCACTGTACTCCACTTGAGTCCACATACTCACCAGCGATCAATATAACAAGCAAGCAGGATGAACTGCAGGGATTTGCATCAGCCGGTTTGACCTAAATCCAGTCGAAATCTGTTACTTATACTTCTGAAAACTAACTATGTTGAATATCTTTGTTTGACTGACAAAAATCAATTATATAACAGCAACTACCAAACAAAGTAATAGCAAAGAGTGTTTTGAGGTGGCAGTGGATAAAGCAGCCAAAGGTGTCTTCCAGAGAATATAAATGATGAACATATGCATTAAGCGCTCATTAAGAAGTGTGTAAATGACAAAAGAAAACAACTATAACAAGATGAAAAGCTGTCTGGGGGTTGCTCAACTGCAGTCTGGCTGTCCTTTTGTCGTGCCTGGTTACCTGCTCCCCCTGGGTCCTTCTGAATGACTTTTCCCAAATTGGACTCAATAGGGCCCCACAAAGAGTTCTCCAGGCTGGTTCGATGGTGGAAGATGCACTTATTAAACCCCGCCCATGCTCACCCCCACCGCTTCCTGATTGGTCAAAATAAATCCTCATTGGTTCAACTGTTCCCCTCCAGAATATCTTACTGGTCATAGTTATGCCAAGGGGACATTTTTAAATAGGTCAATTTAGTTTTTTATATCCCACAGAAATTAAAACTGCCACCTATGCAGAGACCTGATCCATTAAGCCGGATTGATGATTTTATTGATAATACATGCATGCAAATCATAAAAAGGGTTTGTAAATGCGCTTTGTTCCACTTAATTTCACATCTCAATGCTAAATCCTTGTAAACCTTTAAGATGGTGTCTGGCTCAGCTATTATTAGATCAATTCTGTGCCAATTCACAGTTCACTCTCTCTCACAAACTCTCGACAGATTTGCTCCAAGTTGTTGAACTCCTGTCCCTCAGGCCTATTTCCCTTTAAGCTCCATGGTTAGACACTCGGAAAGATGTCTCCTCTTTCCATGCAGTGAAGTGGATAATCACAGAGAGGCAATTTGCACTGAATCGATGCAGTGAAATGTGATAGCGTTTTTTCAGCTTTACATATTGCCAAACACTAAAAATAGTGCCGGGAAGAATATGAAGACCAAGAAGAGATAGCGCCATTTCTTGGGCACTTCTTGGGCAGCAGAATGAGTCCAGACGGTTTCCTTTCAATTACAATGCAGCAGCTGGCAGCACTAGACTCACTGTTGTCCTCGAAGCAACATAACATTCACAACATGCCAGTCAGAGAGGTAATGAGGAGAAAACAACCAGAGCACAAAAACATTTCAGACACAAAGTTTCAAAACGAAATGTCCACTTTAGTTGCAATAGATCAATATTGAAAAATCCTTGTTGTGGAAATCAATTCAGGAAGGAAAACAATTATGGGTAATTGGTTAAACGCCAACAGTATTCCTGACAATTGAAATGAATCAGGTATGGCAAATGAAGGTGACAATCGAAAGGCTTGGGCTGCATTTTTTACCATAACATTATCATACATACATTGTTGAAATGTAGCAACATCTTCTCTTCTTGCTTGTTAAGGAGTCTGGAAATAAAAGGGCCGAGCTATAACGGTAGAATCATGAGACAGGTTCATATTACCCTATGGACGATGTGTTGTTGCAATAGTATTTTTCCGGTAGTGGGTGTGTTTACGTCGAGAACCCCTGCTTGGGATTCTGGGATGCTCCAAAGCCATCCATTTGCAATTCCTGTAAAAATTGGTTCATCTGTTGACTGCTTTCATTGTTGGTTTATTTATTTATATGAGTGGGATAGTGCATGTCAAAGAACAGGCGTAAGAAAAACATAAATTTAAATATGCCAGATTTGAGCAAGTTTCAATTTCTTAGTTGCAGATGGTGGTAGTTATGCACAGTTATTCCAATGTGGGACTGCAAATGGCAAATAAACCGAAGCTTAAATCAAGATTACCAACAATATCTGATTTTTCTAAATTGTATTGGAAAGTCACCAATTTTGTCAAGTCCTCAGAGATAACTGCTGCTGTGATTTTAGGCTGTAAAAAAATACATTGATTAGATCCGTTCTGTTGTTAGTCAGCTCTCAGGAACTTAGGGCCTAATTAGACTATTGGGATATGAAGTGCCACAGTGGGAAGAATGTGGAACAAATAGTCAAATGAATACAGACAAAAAAAACACAGAGCACAGACCTTTGCCAAGAGCCGCAGTTCCATTCCTTAATAGATAATTGACAAGCCAAGCAGTGGTTTGGCATTTGTGGGATCTTGGATGATAAGTGTCTTCATGTTCATCGTAAATGCCACAGGAAAATCTACAGCTATCTACAGTTGCAAGATGGCCGCAGAGAGAAGCACTCAGACTGACTCAGAAGGAAAACACATTCCATCTCTGCCAGAAATACTGCTGAATACAGTTTGCTGTTATAACACAGGCATTCGGAGAGATGCGTGATCAGGGCCCAAGTGTGTGAATGCCGAGCCGCTTTGGAGGCCCTAGTCTTTTTTCTGAATGACTTTTCTCGGCTCGGGATTAAGAGAGTTCTCATCTCTCATGATGTCGCTCAGAAAGTGGATCATGACATTTATTGGAAACTGTCCCCTAAGGTACCATTAACATGTGGACTGTTTATAAACTATTAACCAACTAAAGGTAATATTTCTTTTGAGTTGTGTTTTGTTTGAGTTGAGAAGATTTTAATATTCTATTGTGTGCGTGTGTGTGTGTGTGTGTGTGTGTGTGTGAGTGTGTGTGTACAGTACACAGTATATTTTTTGCCAATTTCTGTTTTGGTCAAATTATTAGCCTAGTCCAGCACTCTTGTTTATTATAGTTTATGGCTGTTTTCTGGAAACCTGTCAAAGTCTGCTGTTAGAGTTAATCTAGTCTGTACATTGGGAAGAATTCTAAATTTTGCAAAAAAAACCAACAATATTTCAAAATTTGCTGCAAAAGAATATTCACCATCAGTTATTGGCTTCTTTGAGCAAAAGTATTGGCATCGGCACTGACACCCCCCTATGGATCGACTACTTGGGGGGAGGGGGGTTACCTTTATTACTGAAACATTATAAAACAGACGAACATTTTTCTTTACGCACACTGACTGAGCAGGCTTTGAGCTGCTGTTTAACACCGTGCCCTCTTGACGCCTCCAGACTCAAAGCTGTGTTGAGGCTGCACATGTTTACTGCAACTGAAGCTTAATGTCACAGCAGCAGCCTCGCACACATGTGAAGGTCCAATCTTTCACACACTGTACCCGTCTCTGTAGGTCACAGCAGAGAGCCGCGCATCCATTAACGGCTACATTTCTGTCTTCACACAAGGTCGAAATGCTGTATTGTTGAACTAGCCATTTTAATCTCTGCTCAGTTTGTCTGGAGGAAAGAACGGTGTCTGTAAACAGAACCAACAGGACATAGGACTATTAACTTAATTTCGTTTTAAATGCGGGCACCTTACTGAACAGGCTATGGGTTTTTAATGAGTCAATAATAGCCTCGCTGCGATAAAAAGGTATAAAATGCTAAATTCTCATTCTCAAGAGTGTTATCCTGTCTCCAGCTTTCTCCCTATTATTGTAGTACTATTATGTTTGTCTCAAAAGGAAGTGATGGTTTATGGTTAATATCTATGCCTGCATAAACTGCAAAAAAGAAATTAACTAGAGAAACAATGCCAGAACAATATTATTCCTATTTGGAGAAAATGACAAAACAAACTTCTCTGGTAAGTCCATATCTCCACTCAGAAAGAATACTAGAAAATTGAGGGTTTGGATTTAGAGTGATGAAAAAAGCCTCAGCCACAATTGTTTTCTTCAAACAAATCAGAACAAGCTAGTAGTGACCAGCATGATCCAGGTAGTATTTATGATATTATATGACAGAAATGAATACTTGGATGGAGCTGGAAAGGAAAAAGGCAAATGATTATGAACAATAGGCTGTGTAGGCCTATAAATCACTGTTCTAGTCCTTGTGGTTTAAGATAAAGATGAAGAGATCCTTAATTATTCGTCCCACAGCAGGGAAATGTTAGTGTTGTATCACCGGTTACAGAACAGTAGGAACACAGCACAAGATAAATGAACAGTTACTAAATATTAAACTAAATAAACAAAATGAAAATCTCTAACTCTAGCATAACGAGTACAAAAACTCTCACTGTAGCACAATTAAGAAGTATAATATCTCTACCTTTGGCATAATGAGATGCAAGTATAAAGTACTGTGTATTCTAGTGCAAGTAATAATATATTACTTACATATAATAATAAAAAATCATGAAACTTTTATGTTATTACTAATTGGTTATCCTGGATAGAGGTTACAGACTTCTACGTTTTTTTTTTTCATTTTGTTAATAAATGGCTAATATCTTGGACCCTCATCCTCGTCAAAACTAGTTCCTTTTGACTCAAGTGCATGAATTACACTTTTGAGCGTTTCTCGGATGGATCAGTAAATGTCTGCAGATCCACTTAACAAGCTGCTTATACGGGCTCAAAGAGGGGAAATTCATTAGTCATGAGCAAGTTTAATCATTTCATTTCTAAGAACCCATATTTCATTCGTTCTGCAGAAGATTCATCTAATGCTACAAGTCTCCAGTGGCCGCATGAAGGAAACCGAGAAGCCATCATGAATGCTCAACAGCTTTGCTCAGTGAAGGTCACGGCTTTTCTCTTAGGACTGAACGCGAGATGTCTGACATGTCTCCTGCTGCTTGGAGTGTTTTCCGAGCTCCATCTCTTCTCTCCAATGACAAAACATCCAAGAACAGCACATGTTGTGTGAAACATTGGAATTATTTATACATAATATTACCCGACGAACAAGAAGTATTGTAAATGTCTCTGTGTGTGTGTGTCTGTATACAGAGTGGACTGACCGAGTAATGACGTCCACCATAGTGTTAGCCGCGGAAGAGGTCGAGTACAACAGCTTGACAGGTTATTTGAGCGAGAATGGTGATAGAAGGCTCCTGATTGGTCAGTTGCTAGGGCACATATACTAACATCGATACAAACACTCGGATCGAAGAGAGCCTTAATCCATATATTGGATTAGGACAAAGCCCAAAATAGTGAATGTGACATAAAATGGTTACTGAGCTACAAGTTTACTTCAAAGTAAATCAACAGGAGCCATGAGCACTCCTGTTGACTAGTTGTCTAGTTACTTTTAATAATTTTACAAAGCTAATAATGGATATTGGAGTGAAAACCATTATTGGCACATCTTCCTGTAGCGTTGTAACCAGGTAATTAATGACTGACAACTAATCATATAATGAAATGGTTGTCACCTAATTTAGTCATCCATTCACTGTTTCTGAACCTTGCTTAGACTTAGCATGCTGAGAAGAGGTTTTATGACTGACATCCTTCTATAAGTGAAATGTGTTTACAAAGTTTTACATGTGTAACAAACCCTAGCATTTTTGATTTCCCTGGATAACAAAGATGTAATCCAGGGAAATCACCTGGAAATCACCTTTTGTTCAATATTAACAAAATCCTATATTCACTGACCTTCAAGGGTCAAAAACAACAAATCGATCAATCGAAAGAACAATTGTGCAACTAATAAATCAAATCAAACTAATTGTTATTATCAGCCCTACTTCCTACCATCACATCTCCACACAAAATTTCAGATCAATCATCCAGTAGTCCAACCCCAGCATACATTTACAGAACAGTCATAATGTTATGGTTGATCCAACAACAGTAGCAGCTGATATCTGTAAAACGGTTTTGACAGATTTAAAACAGTGCATCTTGTTCCGTTTCCCTGCTCCAATAAAATCAGAATTAATCAGTTGAAATGGAAATGGCTCTGTCTAATTGGGGCCTATTATGCACTTGTCAGAACGTTACATAAGCGGAAAATGGTAAGGATTTTTTAATATTGAGTCAGTTTGTGTTCATCGCATCTTTGTCAAATTAAAGTACATTGAATTACAAGAAGGGAGGATGCTGTCAAATACTCTGTTTGCTTCAGTCCAATGCATTTAAAGCTTCCAGTCTGAGCCGTTATTGTTTCTCTGTGTCTTGTAAAGTATTCTCTTCTGGCTTGTCTATTAAAGTGAATCATATTGTACAGTATAGCAGTGGGTCAGGCATGCAGACATAAAAAAGGTTTCATACATCAGAAATAGTAGCAGTTTTTATGAAAGAATCAAAACAGAGAATACACACGAGCAGGCTACGTTTTGCTCTTATAAAGTAAATAATGTAGCAATAAAAAAAGATAAATGCAAATACCAATATTTATTTTTCTAAGTAATGTTGTTTGGGTCTGCCATATTTTAATGCCCATTGATACAAGTGCTGGTAATGTTCATTATTTTGTCAACATCACAACAAAAAACAAAATAATCATATCCGCTGCGCAGGAAATCCTATGCGTCCTTTTCCTTGTGGATTTTTTCCAGATTGGGCTGATCCCTTGTGTGGGTTTGTTGCTTTATCCATTTAATCCTGACATGAAACCGTGCAGTCAGGACAGAGACGGATCGTGTTTCCAAAGGGTCAGAACAAAGTGACAAGAGCAGGGCATTCTGGGTAATATCGCCACAGAGGGGAAAAGTAGGATTACATCAGACAAAAGAGGTCCACTTCAAAAATAGCATTTTAACATCACTTGAAATTTAATGTGGGTGTATTTATGGGGAGATCAAGTCATTAGATACAACAATAATCCTCAAAACAGGCATGCACTTTGGACCGTCTAGACTCTAGACGAATGATACCCAATGTTGGGGTCGCGAAACACAAGCTGAGGGTCGCAAGTTTGTGCTTATGTGAATTTTATGTGAAAATAATTAAGACCATAGTTGATGTGAGGAATCAGCTCTAAACTAAACTAAACTAAGACTAGATGTTTTTCCATTTTGGAGCTGCCTTCCACCACAACGTATTCTACAGGCTCTTTGGAATGTTGTGATGTCACATTAATTCAATGATGCATTGAAATGTACTATGATGGGTTCACTACAACACACTCGGTATATCTTAAAGAAGTGATTTCATTTGCATACAAACGGCTCTCAGCATCGTAGTGTTTAAAAAGTAATGTATATTTTAGTGAATAAATGACCCCAGAGGGAATCATTTTCTGCTACCAACTAAATTGATTCGTATATGCTTTCGAGCTACTCTAAATTTTGATAGCAGTTTCAAGGACAGATCATTGAGTACATCCCCTGCGGACCGACACGTATTGTATGAATGAATAAATAAATACAATAACCTTTAACCTCTTAATCTACTGGTGATGGACTCCAGGGTAAGCACCAGCATTTTACTGCAACACATTATTCATACATAAGAAAATTCTGAGTGCCTTACAATCATATTTTAACTATTAATCTGACAAAGAAAATTCATTTGTTTTAGTGGTGCGGCCTTATGGCATTTGCTGTAATAAAGAGCTTTTATGAATAAATAGAAAGTAGCAGTAGGTCTATTCAGAAGGTCAGCATTTGAAGTGTCTCACAATGGTAACTACATATATTACATTTCTATACCACAAGCAGCTGCCACGGCAATTACACAAGTCAGATAAAAGTGGCGTAAAAACACAGGCAGTAATTATTGTACAAAGCAAAGTAATGAGCAATCAGTGTGTCTGTCTGTGTCCGTTCACTGCACTGTCTAATCTCAACATTAGGGATAGCGAGAGTAATGAGAAGGTAAAAATAACCCAAATGATGCGGTGTAAAAGCCTTGATGTTACCTGGGAGATCAGACAAGGCTCCTCGCTCGATTATGTGCTTTCTGTACAGAGTCTTCAGGACCTTGGCGCTGCCGAACCTTTTAAAACGACTCTTCACATTGTTGTAATACCATTCAAGGGACTGGGTGCGCAAAATCCTGCAGAGAAAACAAAAGGCAATTTGTAGACATGGTACAAACTGTATTAGCAGTAATAGCCTCGGACACAGTTGCCATTTTGAATGAATGAAAGGATGAATGTATTTATTTGGACATTGAGAAGAGACAAAAACAGTTTCCAACTATTATCCAAATATCCAAACAAATAGGAGTGGGAAGAAGTAAAACACTTTTATAACCCCACCCCTTCTACAATAAATATCAGCTCCCTTCATTGGCCGCATTCAAAACAAGAGCTTCAGAACGTTTTATGCAGTTAATACCAACATTCCATTTTGTATTGACTTTCATTGCTAATTATTTGGCAAAAAACATTTAGATTTTTGGCAGTGTTTTGTCTATAGTTCCAAATTATGATTTTTGTTTACCCCTCAAATGGATACACAAAGCTTTCTAATATAGTGTGTACTGAAGACAATGAGAAAAGATGCGGCGTTCTGGGATTGTGTCACAACAGAAGACATTTTATTGTTGGTAAAAAAAGACACAGCCAAAGATTTGCAGCGTGCACATGGCTTTATAGAAGACAAAACACTCCCCGCATCTGAGACAGCACCAATAGATATGCTAGCTTCAACCTTCAGACCAAAACATCTGAAAACAAAAACAAAACAAAAAATCACTGACTTCTTTTTCACTGACTTTTTCTATGAGTTCATAAAAATGCTTATTACTACATACAAGTTATATACAAGTAATATAATCCGTAATTTAATTGAAATTTGAAAACATTTCATCAGTGATTGTTGTGTAAATATAACTACATGGCTTCGTGGGATGAGAGCGTAGGGGAAATGAGAAGCCTCTGAGCGAGTTGGGGGCCGGTGCTAAACATTCAAACCTGGCAGAAACGGGTACAGCTCCTTTAACCTGTATTAAACCAGGAAAGTCCCATTGAGATTAAGAAGCTCTTTTTCATGGGAGTCCTGGACAAGAAGCAGCAAAAGTTACTCACAATTACATCAAATTACATGAAGGTTAAAGTCCTGAAGAACAGTATTATTCAAGACTACTTCCTTTTACTTTTTGGACACATTTCACGAGTATCCTCAGGCATGAAGGTCCCAAAAAGCTCTATTCATTCCTTTTGTGTGCTTTCCCTGAGCTCAGTTTTACCGGAGTGGCTTTCACATGGCGTCAAGAAGAATAGGAATACAGTAAACCTATTAATGCGTTTCCTTTTTTGCCCACAGCCCGATGCCTGAATCCCGACTGGTCCGAGAGAACAGATGATTACATAAGCAGTAATTCATAATGGAGTGAACCAGGAAAATAGCTCTGAAAATCGCCCCCTTTATCGTGCCCGTGTGTTGCATTGGATTGCATGAAATTCTGCCAACTTTGAGTTTAATCTGTCGGCGCTGTCTTGTCTGCCTGCCTCCTGCCTTTTCATGCTTCTGTCACACACATTTAGGAGTTGAAGCAAAGATGGATTGCCAACCTTAACCTAAATACCATCATATTGAGAAAAACAGAAATTGCTTTTTGACCTATAACATTTTTTGCAAAAGTGACACCTCCTAAATGCCACTGGTTTTAAGAAGGAAACAGATACGGGAGAAGAATAAAAACTTAACTTCAATTCCCGTTCAGTAAATGCAAATATCCGCATTTACACATTTTGTTAAATACTCAGTTTTTGGTATTACCATTGTATTTATCATGACCATAATTCATTTTACATGGAGAACCGCAGAACTATGTAATTTATCGGTCAAACTAGATTCGTCTTAAAACAGCTTGGTTCCATCACTAGGTTTCGCATGCATGTATTTTTGGTCTCAGTAACATCTGAAATAAAAAACTAGGTACACTAGCACTAGCACTTTGAGGCGCCTTCAATTGTATGTATACAAAGAAAACTTGCTTTGCCTCTTCCAGTTTTAATGCATCTGGCTTGAGAGGAGTTAACTTAATGGCAGCCGCGGACACCAGGGCTCACGTGCACCGGCCCGCTGACTTATGACTCTGTGTGTAAAGTGTGTGGTGAGGGGTTTTACAGCCACCTTACAGACACCTTAAGCAGACTCTGCACATAAGCTGGAAAGGCTCACAGTGTCGACACGTCTTTTAAAATGGAAACAGTTATCGTTCGGTCAACCCGTTTTTTAAGGTCACCGCCTATACTCGTTACCATGATTCACAACTATCACATAAGACTAATGCTTTTTAGCCACACAAACCTTTCCTTGGTTTCTTTTCATTTGCAGCTTGTAATATTTTGATAAGATAAACACAATTATTTCTTTAGTGACCTATTCACAAATGCAATTAATATGACCATAGCTGTCTGAAACACACAGACAAATAAACAAGCCAATGCCATTCAAATGTAGTATCCAGTGCAGGCCATGAATGATTCAACAGAAGCAGCAAAACAGACAACGATTGACCTTTATGGCTTTCTATGCGTTGAATATTCAGGAGGAAAATAAACCAGATACGAGCATAAATAATTTTTTATCCGTTGTGGATCTTTGTCCACCTGAACATGGCACATTTCCAGAGAGCCAAAACGTGCCTTCTGTACCGATTGCATATTTGATATTTCCACACTTATTAGTAAAATTAGTAATTAGCGAATTAGTAATTAGCGAATTAGTAATTAGCGAATTATTAGTTATACAAATATATATTGTCCATAAGATTTGTAAGGCATCATTAGATTATTTTAATTGCATTGAAAATTGTATATGGTCTTTTATGGTGAAAATAAACAATAACAAACAAAAGCAAAAATATAACTATGATTATGATTATCAAGGCATGTATAAAACCCACCTAATATACAGTATCTTAAACAATAATTACAAATTAAACTCGGAAAATCTGAAAATCGTTCAAAAGTTCATATGAAACCATTAGATAATATGCCAAGTCTTTGTTATAAGTTTGATTAGACTAAGTTCCAGTCCATTTTCAAACGATTGAAATGATAATAACTATTATTCTGAGATGTTTTATTTGGGGTTTTCACAAGCTGTGGGCAAAGGATCATATTTGCGCGTAATGGTCTCTTATACATGTTTCACAATGTAGGTTGAATTACAGTACATGGACTTTGCCTGAAGTGGCATGAAGCCCCACATATATGTATTTATATATAGGAAGAAGCGCACTCTTATGTTGAAGCTCAATAATAGGGATGCTACAAGAGTCAAGCCAATGCTAATAAATGGATTATGTGCTTCCCTGAGGATTCTCCATCCATTACACCTCCCTGTGCTACAGTCCCTTGCTGTTCACTCCCCACTGTGACTTCTGCACTAGATTTATGAAGCTCCATCAGCCTGCATGCTCAATAGGCCCAGGCTTCTTCATTCCACCCCACAGGTCAGTCTGGAGTCCCATAATCGCAGCCAGCACAGAGGTTGGCCTGCTTTTATCTGCCATTAAAATAGATGTGCGACAATGGCAAAGGAATTTTAATAAAAACCAACTTATGCGGTGAGAGATACAAGCGGATGAGAGGGCAGCTTTGAACTGAGGATTTCACAAAAACACGCAAAAGTAAGTGCACTGTCAGTACCTTCATATTATTATTTTTACACGAGGCTTTTAGGAGCAGGCATGTTTCAAATACGTGTATCAAATAACGCATGCTAGTAATAATTCAATCAATAATAATATAATAGGTAAATGTATACATATATAGAATACAGATTAATGATCTTAAAGATAAATTTAAAAGACTGGACAGATACAAAAGACTGGTTGATGGCTTCTCTGATGCATGAAATATAATTAGCGCTAGAGATGAAAGAAAAGCTTCCTGAAAGCCAGGGCGCTGTATAGAAAGTACCCTAGACTCTTAGGCTTTGAGTAGCAATTCTCCTACTTTTGCAGTTAATGGTCAATTATTACTGATGAATATTTTAACTTTTATATTTTCTATATTGGTTTAAATGGTTCAAACCTCCCAGATGAGGGTTGCCTATAAATTGCGATGTCTCCAAATGCCAGACTTAAGCAAGACTAATGAGAATTTTATTTTTACAGCCTCGTCATAATAACTTCATGGAGAATAACTTTAATTTATGCCACAACATCTGCTGATCAGATTCAAACTTCAGTAAGCATCTGCTCCACTCTGAACTTGTTGCAGTCAACCCCCGCCTTTATCTTTTCAGGAAAAAACAAAGACAGATTTAGGACAGAGAGAAACTGATGAATGAAGCATGACACAACTCCCCATGAGAGATATGATCTAAAAAAGACAGAGGGGTGGAGAGAGGGCTGGATAAGTACAGGGCTTTCAAGTCAGAACTGCGGCGCTGCGTGAGCCAGAGCAAATACACTCTTCATAATGAGTTTGGGAGATTCCCTCATGCTGCCTGCTGCATGAATAAGATAAAGACAATCCAAGTTGAGGGCCTCTTGACACCAGTCTTTCCACCAACTCACAATGCATACATCACAAGAACATTTGCACATCTAAACACCGACCAAATAAAACTTATAGGAGAATAATGCAGAGCCTGAGAGACAGTGTGCTGAGTTTCCACTTCCCCTGGTGAAAAGAAGGCATTACCATAATTGACTTTCTGAGCCTGGTAATGAAACGGTTCAGCTTGTGTTGAGCTTGCAGCGAGAGAGACGAAAGAAAAGCACACACACGCACACCTTTCGATATGCTGTGGGGCTGGAACTAACCAATATTTGATCACCAATAAATAAAAGGGAATTAGTTGTTTAGCACGCAAACATTATGTATAACCTTTTTTAAATATTATGACCCTAAAACATCTACCCAACCGAATTGTATCAAGTACCTGGGATATTCAACCATTTCTGGTTTAATTTTGAATGTTATCATTTCTGTGTTTAACCTTCACGGTTTAGTGAAAGTGTGTAGAGCAGTTAACGAGTAGTTGCAATTGATTGATTCATAGTTACAGCTTTAATATGTTGCTTTCATGTAAAAGGATTACAAAGGTTTAGTTTGACCAATGCCCTAAGATTCCATAGATTTTCCAGAT